GGCGATAGGACATCTTCAAGAATTACGACAACCGTTCCATCACCCTGCCAATCGCAGGTGTACTTCAGATGTACCGTACTCTTCTAAATGTTATGTTATTTTATCAGAAATATTCTAAAGGAAAGATACCACTCTTACGATATCTTTCGATAGGTGTTATTCACTATCATAAGCCTTTCATTTCCTCCATTTACTCAATTCTCTACGAGTCTTCACTATAACGTTTTGTACATCCAAGCAGACGTTCGGTGTACCGAGCGAGAATTTAAGATAAGAAAGCTTTATTTACGATAGACGTACAAATCTCCTTATCACTCTGAAACAATTACATGCTAGTTCTAATGCCGTAGTCGTACGCTTAGAATACTAAACACATAAGTTTTCCAGACCCGGTTGGTAATAAACCATAGATCCAAACAAATAATATCATACATGGAAAACATATAACATTTAACACATAAAAGAATTTTAGGCATCTTTCCTAAAATATACTAGTGTTCGTGTCTTAAAATATGGTAGACACTCATCTCACAATCATCGCTTAGCATTCTACGTTTAAGTCTAGAAATCCTACAAATTCCTAGTTTGCTTAAACTAATGCTCTGATACCAACTGTGACATCCTCATTCTCACGGCCAGAAAAGACCGATTTGTTTATTCTTTATTTTAAAGTTAGAGTACCCATTTAAAGAAAACTGTTGCGGAATTTGGTCCCAAAACAAAATGTGATAAGAATTTATCAAAGCATTTCTTTAAAGAAATGTATTTTCATTAAATAACAAAATCTCGGGATGTCATATTCCGATACAAACCAAAAGCATAAACAGTATAAAATAGACCTTACAACAGTTATTTATAACTACTGATCTATAATCCACAATCTCTCGTCAAGTCCACCAACTTATACTCTTGTGTCATTACCTGTAATGCAAAGAAAACTGAGTGGGTCAGGCTTGGGAGCCTGGTGAGCATATAGGGTTTTCAACCCACAATAATATAATTATATTGTATTTAATAATTAAACAATCAACCCAAATTACCCATCCACATTATCTCCTTCTGTTTCTTAAAGCTTTAACCTAAGAGTTAATTATCCTTCATTTCATTCACTCATAAGGATTGACCTAAAGGATTGGCACAAAGTCCATTTGCTACCATGGTTTATACAACATGAACTACGTCACATAGTCGCCAGGGTTTATACAATAGGCACTACATCTCATAGTCACCAGGGTTTACATAATAGGCACTAAGTCTCATAGTCACTAGGGTTTACAAAATAGGCACTACATCTCATAGTCACCAGGGTTTACACAATTGGCACTACGTCTCATAGTCACCAGGGTTTACACAATAGGCACTACGTCTAATAGTCACCAAGTTTTACACAATAGGCACTACGTCTCATAGTCACCAGGGTTTACACAATAGGCACTACGTCTCACAGTCACCAGGGTTTACACAATAGGCACTACATCTCATAGTCACCAAATATTTCATCTACCCATGTTCTACCCAACATATTTTTAGATATAATATATATATATATATATATATATATATATATATATATATATATATATATATATACGATTTAAATCATTAAAAACCTGTATAAAACATCCATTCCACACCCATCTCAAATAAACAAACAATACATAACACATAGAACGTATATCATAGTAAATACTTCATATTTATGTGTTAGGAGAAAGTTACTACACACTCACTCATAACGTAGATATAATACATTCAACCAATACTTGTACTAAAATCCTGTTTATGAAAGGGACTATTCACTCACTTGTTAAGATGATTGTCGGACAACACTACGACTCTTCAAATAGAAGTTCTTCTATGAAACCGGGATATCTTCACACACCGGGTTTCTCGTGGGCAGAGCTTCGACTTGAAACTATTTTCTCTCGGGATGTTCATAGCATCGGGACTCGCTTTGGGTGTCGGGATGATACAAGGGCTTCGGGGGGGGGGGGTGATTTCAAAAGGCTAGAGAGGGTATCAAGAGTGAGAGAGTGAAGGAATTAGCAACTATGGCCAGCTGCCCTTCGAGATCTATTTATAGGGCCATTTTCTGGATTCGCGTCTTGAATCTCAAATATTCATGTCGTGAGTTATGTAGTCACAAGGTGCGTCATCGCAACTTGCGTCTGTCAGGCTCCAGAAGTCATAAATATGAGTTCACGTTGTGAACACTGTGTTCACATTGTGAACTCTAACATAATGTTAGAGTTCGCACCCCGAACTTCAAAAATTCATAACTTTCGCATATGAGCTCTGTTTTTGACGTTCTTTATATCCACACGTAGGTGAGATTATGTTCTACAACTCTCGTTTAGACTCCATCGTCTTTTTTATTTTAATATTTATTATATCATTTTTAGTATGTCGGGACAGGAAAACTCCGTTATAAACTAATAGCTTCTTCATCGACTTCCATTTTCGTCTGTCTTTTTACCATTAAACTACTATCGACGAGATCTTCGATTCCCGTTTAGATTGTTTCGGCTAGAAATCCCTTGATCTCATATTCGAACTTCGGGTTGCATAATGCTAAGCTTAAACTTAGAAAAAAAATCATAACTTCCTCATACGAAGTCAGATTTGGACGTTCTTTTTATGCACGCTCTCGGTTTAACATCTTCTACGACTTTCATTTAGATCGGTAAGGCCAAATATCACTCTAACGTAAATTCAGTATTTACGTCGTGCTGTGTCGTGCCGGTTCTGTCGCAAAACTTCGACAAGTCATAACTTCTTCGTTATAACTCGGATTTCGGCGTTCTTTATATGTACGGAATTAAAGCTTATATTAATGGTGTTTTCTATTTTGAAGCATTGCCTTGTAATGCAATATATGAAACTGTGATGGTTGTAGACAACCTAGGAAATGATGTGTTGCATATCGAATCTTCCAATAGTTTGGACAAAGCATGCTTGTGGCATTTTTGTCTTGGAGATGTCAACAAGAAATGCATAGCCCAACTCCAAAAGGATGGAGTGTTGGATTCATTCGACCTTAAGCACGATGACCTGTACGAGTCTTGTTTACTTGGAAATATAACCAAGTCACCCTTCACTGGTACTTATGAAAGGGGTGAGGGTTTATTGGATCTCATACACACTGCTGTGTGTATAGGCCCTTTATATCCAACACAAGGGATGCAAGCCGCTTCTATATGACTTTCACCGATGATTATAGAAGATATGGGTGTATCTACTTAATCAAACACAAGTCAGAAACCTTTGAAAAGTTCAAAGAGTTTAAATAGGAAGTGGACACTACTAGAGAAATAGTCTTTTACGATGCACATTTACGACGCACATTTATGACTCACATTTACGATGCACAGTTATGACATGCAATGCGTATCAAGGAAGGTCATGTCATAAAGGAAGACGACATGCATTTATGTGTCGTACACTTACGACGTGCGTGTTTATGACACGCTATGCGTATCAAGGAAGCCCCTGTCATAAATGAAGATGACACGCATTTTCGTGTCATAAACTTTAGTAACCATTTACGATATGCATTTACGACGCGTCTTTACGATACTCATGTACACATAATATAAAAATATGTAAACAAATATATACCAAAACAATCAATTTCATCCAATAACATCATGTCAAAAAATTGTAATACATTGATATTAAGGGGATCTAATTGTACATTGTTATTAAGAGGTTTTCCTAACTATATAGCCTAATACTATATTGCGATTAAGGGACACCTTCTGCAATGTAATGCTATACAAACTAAAAAGATATACACAAAGATGATAAAGATCAAATTCCAACTAAGTAGAGTTGCATCTTGTCTTTAATAAATCTTTAAGACTTATGAACCCCTGCTCCGATAATTCTTGTGACTTGATCAAATAAAAGTCAAAAAATTAATATGCTAATATAACTATTTGAAGAATCAAACATGGAATGTTCGTTGCAGATAATACCTCAGGCTAATAGACAATCCTTGATCCTATGAACTAGAGAGTATATCATCACAATTCCATCTAACACCACCCATGAGAACCCGTAAAGCTACTCAACCAACATATCATGTCATGAAATGTATTTTTTGGTAGTATATTTTCACTTAGAAAAAAGTGAAATAAATAAAAATAATAAGTACCAATAATGATGTATTATTTCCAGTGAGTTGGAACTTGTAGAATATCCTGTATTGAAATATTAAGAACCTCAAGCACAAGATAGTTTCAAGTACACGCCCTCTGATTGTTTATATATGTGTCGGTTCTTCATCGCGCCATGATTCCCAACTATTGTCTCCTTTCACTCCAACTCCACCTTTATCCATAAGTCAATTAGTCCAATCATCAAAATCTTCCACAACTCTGTTCACATCACATCCCAATCATCAAAATCTTATAAGATAGATTCATGAATTTGGAAAAAGAAAATAAAATAAATGGAAGCATACTTCTGCCATTCGAAGCCAGATGGGTTGAAGATATATGGTACAAAGAACCATTTTCTTTCTTATTATCAAGTCCCAAATATAAACACTAGACCCCAATAAAAGCAATAGGATCTCACTTGACCACCTCCATTGTCCCTATCCCTGTCCCACATAATAGATCCCTTTCATTAAATTAATTATTATTACAATACAAGAAGCACAAACCAGTTAATCAGTCACATACATCATCTCAATCAATAACACATACAACAAATTTGTTTTTCATTTTTCCCTAAAAGCTCAATCAAGAGGAGGGAGGGGGGGCTATAGTTTGATCAACATTTTTGTGTAACTTATTTTTTCCTATATACAAAAAAAACTATAGCTCTCAAATCTTACAGGACACTATGTGTGGTTGGGTGGCTGGCATCCGCACACAACCTCCCTCCAATTACCAATGACCACTAACCAGGCCACCACCCTTGCCTTTCTTTTTATCATATTATTGGTACAGAATATCTCTTCTTTCATAAAATTAAATAAAATAAAAAAGGATTCACATTTGAAGAAGATTATTCACAGTAACTAACACCGAATTTGTTCGCTGCAGATCCTGCACAAATTTAAAACAATAAATTCTTATAACAAATGTTGTACAACTCATGTTCATGTCTATGTCTAATTAAAAAAATTAAATAAAAAGGACTGAGAGAGAGAGAGAGAAAGTGAGAGAAAGAGAGAGAGGATAGGTACTCGTAATATAATTCATCACAGACATGGGGAAGGACTTCACGAACTGGCACTTCAGCCATGGCGGTTATGTTTGACAAGTCAACATCCAGGATAGGTGGAGGTGGCGTGGTTCTGATGAGGGACCCACCCCCACCCAGTGACGAGGCTACATAAATCAAAGGTGGGTCACTTGACCCACCTTTTTTTTTTAATAAAGGATTGTATAAAATTTAAATTGTGAACTACCTTAAATAATTTAAATGAACCACCTTAATGCTTTTGGCAAAAAAATATGCATAAATCAAGATTTTCAAAGCGTATCTTCGATTTTTTATTGGTTTCATTTAAATAGTGAATCATGTGGTTTTACGTTCTAAACTTGCCACCGTCCCCACCCCAGTAGTGTGTCCTCCTTGGTGGCTTATAGTACTTGTGGAAGGATTTGGATTGTTTGGAGAAGAAGTAGATGTAGATGTGCTGGCCTGAGAAGGATTTATAAGCCACAGGTTCCAAGCAGCATCTTCAAGGGTAGTTTGGGCATACGTTTCACCAATAGCTGCCAGGTGTCTCATCATCATCTGGACTCTTCCTAAACACACCGATCTCGATGGACCCACCCCCATCAAATGCCAACCAACCTAAATCCAACTCTAACATCCTATTCCCCCCCCCCCCCTAAAAAAAAGCAAAAGGTTTAGTTAACACTCTTCCACACCACAGTGAATTCACTGCACACATCCATTCCCATGATTTAGTTATCAAGTCAATGTGAATTAGCATAACAGAATGATAAAAATCAGAGTCTTGCCTGCTGCCGACATATCTAAAAGCTTTGATATTTTGGAATTTTTGGTGTTGTTTGCTGAGTGGTGAACCTATATATCAACCATACACAACAGTGGAATGTAATGACTCATTCCATTCCATCCTACCAAACAGACCTTGAGGAAGCATTTTGATTTTGTGATGTGTGATTTGTGATTATCAGTTAATAAATAATACACACACACACACACACACACATATATATATATATATATATATATATATATATATATATATATATATATAAACAGTGGGGAAGCAAGAAAACAAGAAACAAGTATTCATTGCATCCAACATTTGCACATGGAAGTACTTTGGGATTATTTGAAGTGTTAATTGAAAGCCTTATATATGTGACATTATTACTGATTTAGTAATTATGGGTTTCTTCATTGAAGCTGAAAAAATACTTTCTGTTCTTGGAACTGATCATGTAGTTAAAGATTTTTTTATGGCAGGTCATTTTAAAAAAAAAATCTCAATTTCTATTTCTTCCATTTACCTTTTTTTTTGTTTCATTATATTGATAATCATGATCACAGGAAAGCTCAATCATATTATTGAAGCTTTCAGTTCCTCACATCTTTGAGAAAATGACAATGTATGAACTAAGATGTCGTGTAGCAGAAAGATCAAATATGCGCACGTATATAAGAGGAGAAATATTTGAATTACCTCATAATATGATTGGTTTATTATTAGAAGGATTTATAAAAACACAATCGCATTTCGAACTTATTAATCCCCCAACTTCTTTATTCCCCACTTCATCATTTGACAAAAGTTTCTGAGTCTCGGAAATCATAGGTAACTAAGAAAAAATGAAAAATTCAACTTTTCTTTGAATTAAAAAAAAGTAATATAATAATTGTTGTTGTTGATAATAAAGGGGGGAGTTTTTCTCACCATGTGATAGCGTCATCATATATAATTGAAAAGAGGGCAAGGGTGATTATGTTTGAGATTGGTGGATTTGAAACACTTTAAAGGAGGAAATCTTTGTTAGTATCACATAGTGGTGATAATATTAATAATAACCTTCAAATTCTCCCTCACCCTTCATGTCATATGATCCATCATCACCACAAGGATAAAAAATTACATACTCATCCTTACATTATTATAGTTTTTTAAACCACAAATTTTTTAATAAGAGATTATTATTAATATTGGTAACTAATCATTTACTTGTGTACAGAGAAGAACAACACTTGGGAGTCCTTATAGAAGGTATTTTGAGTACCATTTCCATGATGAACATCCCAATCAACAATTAGTATCTTGTTAATACCAAATTCATGCTAGATACATAAAAAGAATTAATTTAGATAATTTGACAATCACAATATTATAACCAACAAAGTTACAAATTCAAAGAGACATTTGATCAAATGGGTGGTGTGCATATGTTACATTGAATTTAACGTTATACCTCATACCATTCTTTCCACTATTCATCAACTATGCCCTAGCTAGTTACAACTAGTTACAAGTAATAGTTGTGGTGGAAGGAAAGAAAGTAGATGAATAATGGTAAGCATGACATACCTTAGTGCAACTAGAAGAGAAGAATCAGGCCTGCTTCATTGAGTAGAATGAGATATTTCATGAAATCGGACCTAGGGCTTGTAAGCAGAACAAAAAATCATGACAAATCATGCTCAGTAATCTCTACTTCCTTCACGTTCTGGTCAACAATCTGAAAATTCAAAAGAAATTGGAGAAATTTGAGTCAATAGTAGAGCGATTCTTACATATAGATGTCGTAATTAGGTATGTAGAGAAGAGGAGAGGCAAGTCATAGAATTGGCTAATTGAATGTGAGCTCACTTAAGGAAACTCTGATTTGAGAAGACCATAACAATACCTAAACAAGAGAGTCAACAGTAGAGCGATTTTTTTCATTGTGAAAAACCTAAGTGTTATGAGAGAGATTATGAGAGGTGAAAGATTAGTCTGGTTTTCAGGGTAATGAAGAAGATTGTGGTTTGCTGGTGGCGACAAAGGAGAAGAAGATAGCTCCGACGAAGGTCAAAAATATGAAGCAAGGAAGAAGGAAAGGGTAAGAAGACATCGTCATGAATTGCCAGTGGTTGTGTCTAGGGTTAGAGAGAGAGAGAGAGAGAGAGGAGGGAGGGAATGGCTCTTTGCGATTTTACGAGAGATAAGGCGATCCAGAGGAGAGAGTGCAGAAGCGGGGTATTCAAAATCTTAGAATTTTAGAATTTTATAGGATCCCTCTTTAAAAACACGTGTTTAGTTAATATATATATATATATATATATATATATATATATATATATATATATATATATATATATATATATAAAGGGACATTTGTAGATGACACACACACTTAAAGTAAGCACCCTCCGTGTTTTTAATTCTGTTTTGTTTGACACTAATTTTAGGGTGTGTGTCCTCTATCTTTCAAATTTTGGAAAACTGACATTAATTTTTAGGGCACGCACAAATGCGCGTCCTCTGTCATAAAAGGTTGTTTTTCTAGTAGTGGGAGAATCAGTTGGGCAGGAAAATCAGGATGTTTCGATCCGATCTGGGAGGAGAGTTCCTAAGTATTGAATTCCACGATTACCTTAAGGAATGCAGAATCGTTTCACAATTGACGCCACCTAGGACACCACAATTGAATGGTGTGGGTAATAGTCGTAATTGAACCTTGCTAGACATGGTTTGTTCCATGATGAGTCGTGCTTTTCTACCTATCTCATTTTGGAGGTATGCCTTAGAGACTGCCACCCATATCCTTAATTTAGTCCCTACAAAGAAGGTTGTCAAAACGACTCACAAAATATGGACAGGGAAAGCTCCCTTGTTGGCACATATCAAGGTTTGGGGTTGCGAGGATTTTGTAAGATGAGAGACTCACGATAAGCTCGGACCTCCTAGTGAGCGGTGTATTTTCATCGGCTACCCGCAGAAGTCCTTTGGATATCTCTTCTATAGACCGAGTTATAATGTTGTCTTCACCGCGAGGAGAGGGGTTTTCCGAGAGCAAGAAATTATAAGCCAATGGGACAGTGGGAGGAAAATCAATCTTGAAGAGCTTCAAGAGTCGAGCGATGAAGGAACCTCTGACACTAGCGCTCAACCCGAGGAGGAAACTCCGGCTGAACCAATTGACAAATCCTTACCTCTTAAAAGTTCCAGTAGAGTTAGTGTTCCACTTGTGTTGTATGGTTTTCATATAACAAGTGAGGGTGATATGTTTATTAGTGATAGTACACTAATAAATTTGGATGAACCTAATAGCTACAAGGAAGCCATGGCAGGCCTGGAATCTATGAAATGGAAAGAGGCTATGGATAGCGAGATTCAGTCCATGTATGACAACCAAGTTTGGAATTTGGTTGACAATGTGCCAGTTCGTAAGACGATCGGGTGCAAGTGGATCTTCAAGAAGACACCGAATGGATGGGAAGGTACACAATTATAAGGCGCGAATGGTTGCAAAGAGCTTTGCTCAAACTCCCGGAGTTGACTATGATGAGACCTTCTAACTAGTTGCAAAGATAAAGTCTATTAGGGTGATGCTAGCCATTGCTGCATTTCATGACTATGAGATATGGCAGATGGATGTCGAAACCGCTTTCCTTAACGAAAAGTTGGCTGAGGATGTTTACATGAATCATCCAGAGGGTTTTGTCGATGCAAAGCACCCCAATAGAGTGTGTAAGCTTGAAAAATCCATTTATGGATTGAAACACTCATCTCGTAGATAGAATCTTTGTTTCGATGAAAAAGTCAAAGAGTTTGGTTTTCTGTGAAGCGAGGATGAATCATGTGTATATGTCAAAGCCAGTGGGAGTATAGTTAGCTTCCTCGTATTGTATGTTGATGACATACTACTCATAGAAAACAACATCCCGACCTTGCAGGAAGTCAAGTCCTGGCTTGGGAAGTGTTTCACTATGAAGGACCTCAGAGAGGCTGCATATATTCTGAGAATAAGGATAGTGAGAAACAGGAGTAAAAGGCTAATAGGACTTAGTTAGAATACTTACTTGGACAAGGTACTAAAGCATTTTAGTATAGAGAATTCCAAGAAAGGGGCGTTACCAATCGAGTAACATACGCTTCTACAGTTGGCTCGATCATGTATGCTATGACTTGTACTCGCCCTGATGTGGCCTTCGCTTTGAGCATGGTTAGAAAATATCAAGGGAACCTTGGCAGAGCACATTGGACGACACTCAAGAATATTCTTAAGTAACTTCGGAGGACCAAGTAATGGTTTCTAATCCTCGGTGGGAGTGATGACTTAAGGGTGCGAGGCTATAGTGACGCCAGTTTTTAGACCGACAGGGAAAACTACCATTCGCAGTTGGGCTAGGTCTTCACCCTGAATGGAGGAGCAATGACTTGGAAAAGTTCCAAGCATGAAACCGTAGCTGATTCAATGTGTGAATCAGAGTACATAGCAACGAGCGAAGTGTAAAAAGAGGCAATATGGTTGAAGAACTTCATTGGAGACCTTGGAGTTGTACCAGCCATCAAGGAGCCCATGGAAATTTTCTATGATAATGAAGGAGCGGTTTCCTTGACCAAGGAACCAAGGGATTATTGTAGATCTCGACATATCGACAGGAAATATCATTTTATTCGACATCGGGTGGAAGAGGGACTCCTCGTAGTGAAGAGGGTATCGTCAGAGGATAACCCAGCAGATCTCCTTACGAAGGGACTGAGTAGGGTTAAGCACTTGCAGTATGCTAGGAGACTCGGGCTAAAGGATGATATTAGTTTAGATTAGATACAAAATGTGTAATAGATATAT